AGGCACCTGTTTTCATGGTTTTGCTCAGAGACACCGCGAGGTTTCTTCCTGCAGGGGAGCATTCTTATGCTCTTGGCAGGCGCGTAGGTTCTGGAAATGTCATGCTGAGACTCTTGCCACTGAAACAGATGTGAACTTCATTGACATTCACTAACCATTAAGCCGCTTTCAGGAGTCCATCAAGAAGCCCACAAGTTTGGTTCGTATAGCATCTACTTGCAGTCCCTTTTGGGGGTGCTGCTTGGCCAGAGAAGTCAGAGAAGGTACCGTTGTATTTGTTCTTTTGTTGTTTTCGAGTTCAACGCCATGCTGCCAAGTACATGTTTCTTTTTTTTCCAGGTTTGTAGCAAGTCGTATGAGTTTAAGTGAAGTTGTCAAAGGATGTCAAAGGTGTAAATTTTATTCAGGGGAAATCAATGCAAATCAAGTACTCACCCAGAAGCTGAACCACATTGTATCACGAGTCATGTTGTAATGTAAGAATACACTTTTCTTCCTCATGCCTCCAACCTGGCAGGGCCTAGCCTTCAGTCCGAAACAAATTGAACACCTACTAGGTACTCGGGTTAAGCTTGTGTAGAGTCGACTCGGGTTCGTGTGCCCTTGCAGAACTGCACTCCACAGGGATGCCTAACACAGATAGTATTGATCTATGACACATGTTTTTGCGTTGTGCCCATTATGTGCCTGATTGTCACTCGTTTGTATTTTATTCTGTTCTTGGGGGGGGCAGTTATCACAGGGGTGAGGGTCAAGGGTTTGGGACAGCTTTGACAACTAATGGTTGGGAAATCTTTCAATCTTTGTCTTCGTTGACCGTAGGGAAAACCAGGCCTACATTGGTCTGGAATGGTCTGGACATGTCACTTGTGTGTGTGTGTGCGCGCATGCAACATCATAAAACCTGTTCTCTAAGTTGAGCATAGGTTTGAATGGTGCTGTGCCATTGAGATTTGGGATCGAAGCATCTAGAAAGCAAGACAAAAGTGCCAGCCATAACGCAGTGTGACACTTTTGCTTGAAATTGTTGTTTTCGTGCCGCGCTCATTTTTCAATGGTGCCCACTGTGCTTTTACCAAGATGACTTCACGCGAGTGGGTTGACTTCTCGCTGAAACCTTGTGCCCATGCAGTGAGTTGACTTCATGCGACGTGGGTTGACATAGTAGGCCGCTTGTAGGATTTTGTGGGAGGGAAGCCAACACCATGGGCTTGGCCACGTGCAGGTTGGCAGCGAGTTGCCGAAGCTTTGCTTGGGAGGCGTGCGAACAAGTTGGGCGGGCCGAACGGATCAGTGAAGATGTGTGAGTCAGGAATCTTCCGCAGGGCATTGGGATTTGGCCTGGCGAGTGGACCTGCTAATTCCCTGGCTTCATGAACAAATAATATAAAATACATAGAGACAATTTATAGACATGCCCGGATCTTCGAAGCGGTATATAAAATAGAGCATCGCCTTTGCAAGAAGAGATGCCGTTACAGCATGTTTTCCTAAAGACGGCGTTTGTTGTTGTGACCAGACGGAAACCGGCAGAAGCCAAAAAGAACCAACTTTTTAGGCGTCCAAGCATTCCAAACGACATTGTCCAAATTGCGTCCATGGATTTTTAGCACATGTTTGCACCCCCTAAAGCGGCAAGATTTTTGATTGCGACGTTTTTTCACTGAAAAATGATGAAAAGTGTCTCCGGCAAAAATTAGTGCCGTTTGAAGATGCAGGTATTACTGGCACATTGAGCTGTGAGCATTCTGACTTATTCTGACCTTCGCTTGAATTGTTTGCAGAAATACCCTGTCTCCGTGTTGGAGACCCCAAAATGCTCAAGAGTGGGGCATCAACAGCATAAACACACCCTGAATATCCCTGAACTTTCATCATGCTCTGAAGTTGAGCCAAGCTGTTCATGAAACCAAGTGCCGAGAAGCTGCCCTCGCCACACGACAGGGAGCTGTGATGTGGGCGCTGGAGGTGTGACTGAATGGGGAGGGGAACATCCTTCGCTCATGACAATGAATTTGGCGTGCTGCTGTAACTTGCGACATTGAAAATCCACCTGATGTGAATGTGAGCAACGTTGTGGAATTGTAGCCTGAAATCAACACAAATTCCTTCCAAAAAAAAAGAGGAATGATGGGTTCAACGGGAGCCTTACGACTTATCTTGTTTGATCCAGTACATCCAGGTCTTCCCCACGAGCCTTCGTGCAGCCGCACTGAGCTCCTCCCGGACCTGCATGCAACTGATGGCCGTTTTGACTTTGAAGGCCGCAGAAACTGGTCGCTTCGAATCACCGCAGTCGAGTGTCACCGCAAGAATTTGCCACAGGTGTGGTTAATTCAAGATTCACACCCTACAAGATAATCTGGTTGGTTGAGCCTTTAGGGTGGTGCCGGAGATGGTCGTCAACTTGGCACAAGCAGTCCGGGAAGCATTTTTGTGAGTCCAGGAAGGATTACGTTACTGAGCCAAGTGGTCCAAGTATGTTTTGACTTGCACTGTAGCAACGCCTCAGTCATTGAAATCCACACTGGGAGCTTGGAACTGATAGGACCCCATATTTTGATCGTGGTTTTGTTGTCCTGTCGCAGGTACCTTTGCCTAGGTAGGCTGATAACGCCAGTAGATCTCCAAGGCTTTGTGAAGCAAATCTCGACCTAGCCTCTGAAACTCTTCCACAGTCGCTCCAGATGTCTTCAAACCACCCCGACTGGCCACTCTAATGATTTCTGTACATCTTGGATTTCGACGAGAGGTCTCCGCAGAGTACTTGTCACAGTACCCTGCTGCGCAGTGGCTGCAGCTTTTTGGAGGCTCCCTAATTGTGGCAGGGGTGTCTTGGCACAAGATGGCGCAAGCTTTGGCTCTCATTGTTTGAGTTTCTGAGCTCTTGAACATGGATCTCTATTTGCAAAATATATAATATATATATATAATATATATATATATATATTTAATATATTGTATATGTATTGGTCATGATGCAAGTCTTTGTGAAACTGGCCGTAGAGGCCTGAGAGACATTGCAGAACCTCCGGGTCATTGCAGTCCCATGTTGAGAAACTCTGAGGTGATCGTGGCTCTTTGCAATCCACAGGAAACTGCAGGTATGCCACTGGCTGAGGGTGTTTCACAACCCTGCCCTGATGAGAGAGCACAGGCCTGACGATGCTCAGCCACAGAAGCTCGAACAGTTCGCCGGATGGTGCTCAGGATGTCAAAACGATCCGCGAGTTGTAGGCAATTGCTCTTTGGGGTTTGAAATCATGGTTGCTGGCAACGTCCGGACACAGCAACACTTCTCCAGAAATGTACAGATTTGAGCGAAGGCCTCTACGACTCTACGCACTTATTGTGTGAGAAACAATGTTTGATAATATTTGCTATTAGGTTAGAGGCCATCGCTACGTACTAGAAACAAGAAGCTATTAGGAGCTCCTGGAGCAAGAAGCTGCTAGGGGCTCATGTGTTTGCTACGATTACGATGTCCCATCTGCCCAAAGGTTGAGACCTGTGCGGAAGCAGGGGACTGTGCAGCCGCAAGGGATCTTAGCTGAAGAAAGTCCAGCAAACACAGGGGTTGAAACCCAAAGCTAACCAGCAAAGCAGAATGAAGAGCTTCTGAAATGGATGTTTGTTTCAGGTTGTGGATCCAGATATGGCCAGACCAAAAGACGTCCATAGACGTCCACAGACGTCCAGACCTTCGATCACACCATCTCAAGGCTGCGAAGCTTGCAGATGTGGAGCAACTGAACATCACACTGGACTCCCAGCTTGGTATCAGCCTCAAGCCTTGGAGTCAACGGGCCATTCTCAGACTGATCCAAAAACGGGTGCAAAAACGCTTCGTTTTGCCGAACGAGTCAACGGAAGTAGACCGAAGTAGACCGAAGTACCCGAACCAACGGCTTCTGACCAGCGCGGATCGATGCCGCATCAAATCGATGCCGCGGCCGTGGTCAGGCAGTGCTTTGCTGGCGGCGATGGCGGCCCATGCACCCCTTTGGCAGGACTCGTCACCTGGCCAAGAAGGAAACTCTGCAACAACTAAGCTGTACTGGGCAGCTAAATTCAGCTACCCCAAGAATTCCTAAAAATACTTCCTGCAGCAGAGCGCAGGATGGAAGAGAAGAGGTAGACAGGTACAGGTAGACAAGAAATTAGACCTTTGCACAGCTCTGTTGTCGAAAATCCTGCCCTATCTCAGTTGCAGAAGAGTGATCGCGTTTAATGGGGCCCATTCAACGAATGTCGAACGATCCTGCACTTGATGACTTCCCATAGGCCCTAGAACCCTACCGTACCACAACGCATGAGGCTAGCAGTGCTGGCAAAGATGCGAGGCGCAGACTCTGAACAGATGGTCATACGATCTTTGTCTTTGAGAAGCCCAGAATCTTAGGACATGTGAGGCCATGTGCTGGGCGAGTTGCTGCCCTCAAATTTTGCTCCATGTTTGTCCTTTTTCATGTTCCAGCCAGCGCGCTGAGGTGTTACAGTAAGTAAAAACGACTTCTGACTTCTACAGCTGCATGATGACAACAACCAAGTGCCAAACACCCTTTGATGATCCTTCTTCAGACATGACATGAAATTGAACACAACGGGACCACCATGATATGTGAAACTGTGATCATCAACTGGACCTTGACAGATCCATCATGACCCCTTTGGTGTCCAGGCTCGGGCCTTGAAGTCACAGCCGAGAATCTTGGGTGTGCCATGGCAGCCTGTGACGCAGGCTGTGCCGACAAACAATGACAAACGTGAGGAGGATTTTGTAATATTTTGTATGAAAGGTCTGGCCTTTGAGATTTTCCCAAAGTGTGCTATGTGAATCTATGTGACTTCATTTCGGTGCTTGGCCAGAGCAGTCAATACTGTGCGGTACGTAGACATAACCTGTTGAGGTTCTTTAAGTTTAAGGTTTCTCATACCTGCTAAGACTTAAGATTGGCGTTAAGATGGGATTCTTGCACCAATCATCTCCACCTCGCTGCAGACTCTTGGGCTGACAGCGGATCGGTTCAGTGCCGGTGCCATGGGGATCGATTTCCGCTCGCTAGAGGTGCCCAAAAAGGCGAAGGTGGGGAACTGGCGGCCAAGCTCGATTAGCTTGGCAGATGCACATCATGGCTTCTGGTCCAAAGTGATGACCAGGCTTTGCCAATGTACTTTGCCCTTCATGTTTCTTCTCCATTGCTTTGGCGCAGTGAATTTGGACACCATGGTGGCCCAAACTTGGCAAGAGCTGCATTCGTGGCCAGCGCTACACTGGGCGATGATAGAAGCACTGGTTGCGGCAGTATCATTCGTGGGTTGGATCTCCTGGTTCTTTTTGCTGAATGAGATTCCATCAATGAAAGGCTATCGTATGGTGGTGCGGGAGGAGTCGCACCCCATCGGCACCCACTGCATGACCGACAGGACGAAGCACAGAGTATGGGCATCCTTCCCAGTGCATCTTGTTTTGCAATGGAAAGAAAAATATGATTTCAAATACAACCGTTTAGCCTGTCCAACGATCGGAGAGGCCTACTCTTCTGCAACCCCTGCACACTGTAGACTCTACACTGTAAACTTGGACCCCTGAAACAGCCTTCCGAGACCATGTTCCCCCACCTGACAACTGGCTCCGCGGCTTCACCCTTCGCCCTATTTCGCCCTCATTGCCAGGTATGTCCTGTCCATCTTTGCCCTTCATCTTGTGAAGTCGGCCCCAAAGGTGCAGAGCGAAGCTCCATCCACCTTGCGACTCTTTTCGGAGTTGATCCTGGGAATTTGGGCTTATGACTTCATTTTCTATTGGCTTCATCTGGCCATGCACAAATTCCCCAACTCTTGGCACAAGCATGAGATCCATCACGAGCTCAAGGCGGGCGCCTGTTCTTTTCAGTGGTTTCACCCACGCAAGGTGCGTGGCTGTTTGGGGGTCTTTTTCGTCTCATCAATATTGAGATTTGGGCCACCACTGAACAATGTGGCCCCAACCCCCAGGTCCAGGATTTGAACGGAGAATGTCCTTGTGGTGGCCATTTCATATTGCACATCTGAGCGAAGGATTCTTGGGAAAGAAGGGGAGAATGCAAGTACAGTTGTTTGGACAAACCTCTTTGCTCAAGGGAAGCAAACAAGGTGCAGCACAGAGCCTGTATGTTGTGTTGGTGACCATTCAATGAACGCACGCTTCAGACATGATGTTGGGAAATCAAGATTGAAAAGCAAAAGGTGAAGGGTGTGATCTCTTGGATGCCTTTCCATGAATGTTGCACATGTTGCAGGTGCCACAGGTATCTTCCTAGTCCATTTTGTATCAAACTATGTCTCACTAAAGTAACATAGACATAGACCTAATTACTCTTTGTTACTTCAGGCATGGGAGCACGTCGCACCATTCTTGTGGCTTCCAAACCGCGGTGTTTGTTGACACCGAAGCGTTTGAACCGTCGAGGTGCATCCCATCTGTGGGACCAGCTTCCTTGCCCCAGAGCTGGTGGTGAATCAATCATTGGAAGATGGAACCATGCAAGTCCTCATCAACATTCTCGTCCAAAACCTCCCGCTTTTTGCAGGTTTGCCCAAACACAAGATGAGCCGCTTGCTTCACAACATCTTGGTAACCTATCTCCTCTCGGAAGCACATTCAGGCTTGGATCTACCATGGTCAACGCATCGCCTTTGTCCCAAGATTCTGGGTGGTGCCTATCGCCATGAGTTCCATCACCACCGGAGAGACTGTTGCTTCCATCAATTCTTTTGCTATTTGGACGATCTTCTTGGCTATGGCCCGCCCAAAACTCGATAGATTCTTCACGACACCTTGTAGCGCATTGACCAGCCACAGAATTGACCAAGTCATGAGAGGTGTGCTGTGATTTGTGTCGGACTTTGCTCGTATTGAGTTTTATTGAATTTGTGGCATGTTCTGTACTGCGAGGATATCGCATGCTGCAGTACTGCGAGGATATCGCATGCAACAACTCGAGCCAGCATGCCAAAGCTGCTGGCTCACAGTTGGTCTTACTGCCTAAAGTATCTTCAGACGATGCTTTGTGGTCCAAAAGCATCCGCAAACTGGTGGAAACACTGGAATCATCCATCGTGCTCGGACACAGAGGTGGAGATGAGACTGACCACCTGTAGTGGGTGTTTTTCACCTCACGGCAAATCCTGCACGGCTATGCCTTGCATCCCAGGCAGCAGAAGAACGTGGCTGGGCCAGGAGACAGACGCCCAGGCCTCGGCGTGAATGGAACGGAATGTGCGCAGAATAAGTGGCTTCTGTTGCAACAAGCGTATGTTTAAACCCTACAGAAACCTCTATGCCATAACTTTACGCTAGCCGTGCAGTTCTTGTTCAAACTCTTCAAGCTGAGGCTGATGACCGCCGTCCTTTGCAGGTGAAGCTCCAGGATATTCCAGGATCATCCAAGATCCACGAAGCTGAGCACACCAATAGCAGAAACCACTTACTTCTAGGAAGCACGGAGAAGTCTTCTCTCCACCTCTGTAGGGGCAGTATAGTATTTCCAAAAAGCGACAGTCTGCCAAGGTAATGCTCATCATCCCAAAGCATCCAAGTGATGTCAGCCCATTGGCGGCAGGTGTTTCGCCTCTTGAGCCTGTCCGGAACGTGGCGCCGCAGAGCCCAGAGACATTGCGCCGAAGTCGCCCGTGTTGTGGTTGTGAGACAGAGTGAACCATGGCCATGCACCAAGCCTGACATGTACACAACCTTTACATACATGTCGTTTGATATCGTTGGGAAGGCTCTGGGGGAAGTGGGCATGGAAGGACCGTCTCGATCGCATGACTCGGGGTGTGGACAGGGTCTGAAGTCTTGCTGTAAGACATAAGCTGGAAGAAAAGTTGCTATTAGGTCCATTGCTATTAGGTTTGAGGCTGGAGGCCATTGCTATTAGGTTCCTTTTTGTTGCATAAGTTGGAAGAAAACAACTGCTGGACGAAGGCTGTAGCACACTGTAGCACTCGCAACGCTGGACGACCACCGTCATGCGAGGAATCTGTTTTTTCTGAGACATTCATGTACATCATACATGCATGTGGACAATTCCAATGAACTGGCCGTAAGAATTTAGCGACATGTTGCCAAAACTTCTCCTGAAACCACACGGGCTTGGGGTGCAATTACCCTGGTTCTAGACATTTCTACGCCATAGCATGCCATAGCCGAATACTAGATATTCTTACAAAACTTTCTTGGGAATTTTTGACTTGTGTTTGCCATCTTCCTGGATAGCACCAGAAGTTTCATCGAGCGTTTTTGCTGCCAGAGTTGGACGTGTTGCAACTTGCTATCATCAAAGTGGGCTGGAAAGGAATGGAAGTGTGAGAAGACAGAGCGCCCACTCTTTAGTGGACACATCTATGATCATTTATGCTTTAGGGCCTTCGACCCTTAAGGCAGTCATCCCCCAGCAGCATTGGCAACACATGTTGGCTGTGTCATTTGAAAGAGTACGTCGCACGAACATGTTGCAATGTAGGGTGGACACCTTCAGTAACATCTTGAATCTACATAGTCAGAGTCGTCGTCATGTCGGGCAATATTTCAGAACTGATTGCTTTCAAGAGATCCTCCTGATGTGCATCAGTGCTTACATGCCTAAGGGCTCGATCCTTCAGCTGATCTTTACCAGACAGCCCTGGGCGGAATCTCCAGCAGCAGCCTTCTTTGGGTCTGGACTCCAAGGCTTGATGTTTCTCAATAAAGCTATATAATGTGTTCATGTCCATTTCAGGTTTATGGTGATGCAACATCTACAGACAAGTCTTGCTGAGGCCTGGGCACTTCACTTGCTGGAGGAAATGGAGGTCAGGGCCGACCTGATGGGTATGAAGACATGGTATGGAAGGGAAACATCCGGACCGAAGGGAACCCGAGAAAGGCGAACCCCCGGAGTCTCCGGACCGAGGCTTTGGACCGGAAGCCTTCCAAGGAGGATCTTCACGCGGCCATGCAGGCGCGCCGGCTGGAGGGAACGGCTGGAGCCCACACAGTTTGTGACAGAATCCTTTCTACTTTCGTTTCTCCAGCTTGGGGGTCAAAGACAGGGAGGGGCAATGTTCAAAGAGGCATGAATCAGCCAAGCGGAGATCGACTCCTCACTCCCAGAGTACTTCCTACCTTATGTTGACTGAAGCTGTGGATGACAACTTGATGTTTAATACTTTGTGCATGGAGAACTCTAAGTTCAGGTTCCTGGACAATGCCAGACTTTCACCCTGCTTTTGCGATAGCTGCGATAGCTCCTTTCCCATAAAATGTGGTCTGGAAATTATCCAAGTTGGTACATGCAGTCTCCTTTTCTCTGTAAAAGACACAGGCAAGAAACATCAAGACACATGCCTGCAACACCCCATGTTTAAAGCATCATCATACATCTTCAAACATCTTCAAAGAATCGAAATTCTCTGGGTAAACGAGCAGTTCAGAGCGAGCTTCACAGCTTTGCCTGACCAAATTGCAGCAGACTCCCAGGTCATTTCCGTCGCCTCACCCGAGGCCCAGGGTTTTTTGGAATTGTCTGGGATACTGGACTTCGTTTGTTTTCTTAGGGTGGAGGCCATCCCTAGTAGGTTGGAGGCCATCGCTCTTAGGTTGGAGGCCATCGCTTTTCGATTGGAGGCCATCGCTCTTAGGTTAGAGGCCATCGCTCTTAGGGTGGAGGCCATCGCTCTTAGTGCGGTTTAGCTTGCAGTTGTATGGACGGGGGGAGTGCGTGGTTGGCCGGTGGAGTGCTTCTAAGTTTTGGGCCAATGTCAAGGCAGGATATCATGACTCTCACAGACTTCAGACACCTGCAGTTGACCTCCATCAGGAAGTGAAGCGGAAAACAGCCGAAGAGCGCAGGGAGTTCTTGGCTGTACGAGCCCAACTCTCAGCCCTATGGACGATCCAGCCTTCCATCAGTGTGTTCAAGAATCGAAGATGTAGAAAGACACATAGTAGTAACAAGTGCACTACTGCTAGTAACTAGAAGCTACGAGATACAAGTGCATCGCTATTAGTAATATAAAGAAACGCATTACTTTTGCTTCACAAGTCACTGAATGACACTCCAACTCCCAGGGACTGCTAAGTATGGCACCTGGAGGTTCTCTTTGGAACCCAGACGAGTCTAAACATATAAAGGTCGAAGGAACTTCCGCCCATCCCCAAGTGGCGAAGGATCAACAAATCGATCGAGACATTGATATTGGGTCCAGTTCGAGCACGCCGTCCCGCATGAGTTGCTCCTGTTTCGTGCATGGGCAAAGATAAGTAGAGCAAGCCTTATTGTTAGGGCGCTGCCACAAGAAGTCTATTAATGTAGCGCCACGTGTTGGACTCCTTCATACTACGTACAAAAGCATTGATGTCAAGAATGTTGCGGTGGCGTGTTTTTTTTCTAGTTTTGTATTTTTTTTGGTTTCCCTGATCTGACATCGATTTTTTACCATTTGAGGCCAAACTGGCGAAGATCTATGTTCCCCAGCAGCGCAGACCTGTTCCCAGGCAAGCTGGATATCTGACGAATCTGGCGGATTGTCGCTGTGGCGGATCGGTTTTGATCTGGTGGCGTAGCAACATGGTCAACGGGGGGGTTGCCCGGAAAGCAAACGTTTCCCACCACGGAACAGGGTTCTGGCGGGGGGGGGTGAGGGCTAGGAACAGTTTCGTTCGTGTTACTAGTTGCGCAAACCGAACTTCACGTTTCTTTGCCGGCGTCGTGACGTTGCATTCGCGGTTAATTTGATCTTCGCGTTGCGCTTTTGGGCGTTGCGATACGAAGCTGCAAACGAGAGCACGTTGAAGGCCTCGCAGCATTGTGGTTCAGCCAACATCCAGGGTTGGACTCAATGCTACAGGCTGTGAAAATACACAGAGAGACTGTGCAAGACACTTGTCCGCCAGCTCAAACAGTGAGCTGTCATGGCTCAATTGGGAAGAGGACTGGTGTCGTGGCGCATGAGACCGACTGGTCTTTGGATGGTCTTAAAAATGCACTCAAGTTATCGTCTTGGAGTCTTGACGATAAGTTGAGTGTCCAGAAACCCAAAAGCCCTGTAAAGCGCATTGCTTTCTGGCCCTTTGCACGTTGCAGTCCGGGCAACCCCCCCGTTTACCCAACATGTAGCAACGAACACTCACACTTTCTCGAAGCATAGGTTGACTGGGGTGCAACTGATGTTGAGACACGCTGCAAGTGCAGCCCATCCAAGCCCGCCAGCCAGGCTCAACGTTGTACCGATGGTAGCTCCGCCCTCGAAGCGTGTGATATGAAGATCAACAACCAGGAAAGTCTAAATCATGCGGTGACACCTCAGACACTGTATATAATTCAGATGGGCTATGTCCTTTGAAGGAACCTGTTGTATTCTTTTAAGATTTGGTCCATGTTTCTTCTAGGTCGACCGGAGATATCCACCTCCACCGGACCCTCCAGAGAATCCTGTCATCATTGGTGTTTGGCTCTCAGAATGCATTTGCGCTAGAGAAAGCCATTGTAGACATTTTGAAGAACCCTCAGCTTGCTCCATGGCAGCACTGCTCGTGCTTTACGCGCACATCCACACATACCCTTTGATGAGGAGGCCATATCGGCCATACCCTCGTAACTTTCCCTGTAAAGCCTGCTCTTTTCGACTGTGCCAGGTCCACCCGTTGAAACAACCACCTTTCGGGGGGGGGAAGGGGCGTGGCTTGTCACTACTGCTGGGGATGTTGATGTGTTTTGTGATGTTTTGTGGTTAGATAGATGTGAGTCACATGACCCTCAACAAGGCCTTGGACTCTGAAAGGATGCGCAGCAACACACCCTACAACGGTGGAGGCCCTTGGAGTCTAGATCTCAGAGGAATGCGAGGAATTTGATTCAAAGGATGACATGTCAGAAGCTTACGGAATCTGCTACTTACCAATACCAACATGCCGTTGTATTGTTGGCTTTCTGTGGCTTTGTGGTTTTGTGCTGAGGAATGTGGCAGATGGTGTCGTCCCTGGTCTTCTGTCGTTTTTGTACTGCTCAGAATTCTGCAAACGAGACGGACCAGAAACGAGGCTTTGAGTCTGCTGCAAAAGCTGGAAGTGAATGACCTGAGCCACGAGCCCAGTTTCCTGAAGTGGGCTCTGCAATCTTAACACCAAAATGGAGCGCTTCTTGCTGGACATCCCAAGATCAGATTTGGAGCTTGATCCGTAGAACAGCTGGA